GAAGAGAGTAGGAGAGAGAGCATGAGAGAGAGAGAGAGAGAGTTGGGAGTAGAGAGAGAGAGGAGAGAGACGAGAGGAAGAGGATTGAATGAAGGAGAGAGAGAGGAGAAGAGAGAGAGAGAGAGAGAGAGCAGGAGAAGAGAGACGAGAGAGAGAGAGAGATGATGGCGCGAGAGAGAGAGAGAGAGCGACGAGAGACGAGAGAGAGATAGAGAGAGGGGAGGAGGAGAGGCGGGGCAGAGAGAGAGAGGGAGAGGAGAGAGATGAGGGGCGAGAGGCTTCATTAGTCTTGGGTTACTGCTGTACCTTGACCAACGGCTGGCAGGTGTGTTCGGCCGATGCATGACATGCCCTTACATCCCAACCATCACCACTACCCCGACCACCACCAGCGGAGCGAAGCAGCGAGCAGCGAGGCTAGGTAGCACCAGCAGCACCGAGCGGAGCAGCCACCACGACCGAGCCAACCAAGGCACCTCCAGGCAGCACAGCAGCGACCACCGACAACCAACGACACCAGCAGCTCCGGGAAGTTCAGCAGCAGCAGCAGCAGCCCACCACACCACGCAGCAGCCCACCAACACCACCAGCAGCAGCAGCAGCAGCAGCCCACCAACACCAACACCACCAGCAGCAGCAGCAGCCCTCACCAACACCAACAGCAGCAGCAGCAGCAGCCCCCACCAACACCAACACCAACACTACCAGCAGCAGCAGCCCCACCAACACCAACACCACCACCAGTAGCAGCACCAGCCCCCTAGCCCCCACCAACACCAAACCCAGTCAAACACCTACACTTCCGATGCACAACCAGAGAGCTGGTTTAAGTGGAGGTGGTCTTTCATGGGAGGGAAGGAGGGCGTCCAGCATTCTGCGTGGACATGTGCGGGTGACAGAATAATTGCTCTGGCCGAATAGTGGCGAGAGAGAGTCGACTGTACTGCGCTCTCTGTCACTGTGTAGGGAACATACATACCTTATATCGCTCTCTCCCTCCCTAGCTCACTCCCTCTGTGCCTCACTCCTTCCTGCCATCTCCCTCCCTCCCTCCCTTCTTCCATCTCTCCTTCCTCCCT